CATGGAGCCGCTGATAAGAGAGGTCCAGAAGAAGTTAATCTGGAACTCTCTCTTCATGATTGCTACGGTCAGCCTCCCTCTCATGCCAGTGGTTTGGATGTTCCACGCTTGCTGCAGTTCTAGGACAAAGATGGCGACTTCATCGACACTCATGTCTCTGTTTATGGTCAGTGAGAGCTCTTGAGAGGTAGTTTTGAAGCTATTAGATAAAATAGGTTCTTATCCGCTAATTCACCTTCATTTTTTCTGTTTTTGCACCATTTTTAATGTATATCTTCTTTCTCTTCCTTTAATCTTAACTACCCCCTACAATAGGTTACTGATCTGTGACGACCTTAATAACTTACAGTAAGCAGGTCTATGAAAAAGAGGGCTACCACTATTTAAAGTTTTCCCTACCTAACCACTTAATCACCTTCATTTGCATAGGGCAGAATTCAACAGTGGGGGCTCTCTTCTTTTAAAAACCTGTACTTTACGCCCCTGAGGTATAGTTTAGTTCACAGAATCAAGCCAGTGGTGACCAGAGATAAGAGAATGGTCTCAACCCTCAACCCAACAATATCTTGCTTATCAGGACAATGCTGCCAAAACGTAGCCTATTCCGGAAATGATTATCTGAGAATCCCAAACAGTATGTTACATTGAGAATATTTAAAAGAATAGTGTGAAGTTGGCATTTGCATCATGTTTAAGTCCAAACTTATAAAACGAAGAAAATATAAAATTACTCTATCAATCACATGCCAGGTTTTAATTCTTATTCAAATTTCAAAACAATGAGCCAAAACTGGCGTCGATTCCTTTTCAAATAATTTTGTACACTAATGTAACATTGTTTTTTGGTTTTATTATTAATTTTTTTTCTTTGGGTACCTTTATTTGAATCAGTTTAATTCTGTTTCAGGCGATTCTTGGAGTTTTCTTTTTTTATTTCGAAAGCGGCCAAGATGTATCACATATTTTTTTTATACCTACGATTTGTCTTACATTCTACGCTGCAGCATTCCTAGTCGGTAAATATTACTGTAACAATAATGCTTTACTTTTATTGTTTTACTATAAGAATAAATATTAAATTGCAAACAGCATGAATATGTCCTTTGTCCCTAACAGTAAGCTATTTTAAGGACACCCTATTAATCCTCAATAAAGACATTGATTAATTATTCAGACAAGTGGTTTTTAGCTTGGTGGGAGGGGGTTAACTATGTTTGGGGAGGGAGAATTCATAGGTAGCCAAAATGTCTAGAATATAAAAATATTGGTTAATGGTTTCTTTGGCATTTTTGTCGTAAATTATTTCATTATACGATTTCTTTTGTTTACTTTTATTGATATACAAATGTAGATTCATGTTATTTACTAACATTACTGGACAAATAATTGTTTTTCCTCTGGCATTCTGCATTTATTTTCTCTCTAACCCAAAAAGGCGTGTCTAGCAAGTTTTTCCTGGAGGGTTTAAATTTGCTACCCTTGACAAAGAATTGAAGGAAATTTAATGTAAACCAAATGTATATTTTTGTTTTATCTGAGCTCCCATAACCTTGTACTGTATATTAACAATGTCTTGATTCATACTTTTTCAGGATTTGTTGATAAGCAAGAGGAAGAGGGAACTGACAGATGTCGAGATTGTGGGCGAGTAGTAGCTCTGAGTGCTGGCTTCTTCAGCATGTTTCTAAACGCCGTGGCTTTCCTTCCAGTTAAAGAAGTCCTGGGAACAGCAACCATTTTGTGGTTTTATTCTGTAGTTTCAGTTATCATGACGATTTTTATAATAGTTTTTAAACCTAAAGGAACATTATTTTGAGTAATATTATGTTCCTTTCTAAAATACATTTGTGGAATTTCTAGCTGTGGTGTATTATTAGGTACTCCTGATGTTTTTAAAATAGATTTTAAATTTATAGCTTTTATCGTTTTCTCCAATTATGTTTTTCCATGTTAGTTTTGTATCTAAAGGACATACATAAGCATTCACTCTCCTAGTCAGCCCAGATAGGTGGGTAATTTTCCTTCTACCATGGGTGATGGTTATATTTTATTGTGACAGGACAGGAGAACAAGAATTTTGATAAAGAGTAAGAGAACGGTTTCAATCAGATTAACCCTTAAACGCGCGCGCTGAGGTACCCCCACGTACGTTAATGTTGCAATAATTTGGTGGCAACCACGATGAGCATAACAGTAGCTTCCTAAAATAGCATATGCTATTATCTGGCTATAGGGTTGTTAGTCTTGACCAAATCATTAGACCTGTTATCACCCCCCCCCCCTGGGTCTGACATACCCCCACGCGCGTGCTTGTGTTACTAGTAGGCCTACAGTGTTCATTAGGGAATCCAGTGTTCCCCCCGTGCATAGTAGTGTCTCAGGTTTATTATCATAATTTATTAGTATTAATAACTTTATCATTATAATTTCGATAGTATTGAAAGTTTGCCAAAAAGCTTATAATCTGTAAACCAATTGGATGGAAATATCCAACCATAGAGTCCACTGATCTAGCCTCCCAGTGCAAAGGCACGTCTGCCTTGATAACTATCTGCCTTGGACAAAAAGATGCCAAAAGACCAAATTTAAGTGTAAAACCGTAAAAAAACCTTTATTCCGGGGGTAAATTTAAAATATTTGTGAAGTGTAAATACATTATCAATGAACTTTATTTAATTTTTAAATTTTTTATAGTATTTTCTACAAACCGGATACTGGATAAATTCATTAAATATTTACTGTTTCCATGGTTTAATACAAATAATATACTTTTGTACATATTAAAAATAACATTTGTTTGCAATAAAAAGTTGTTAAACAAAATTTTCCATTATTACCCAGACAGCACACTTTATCCCAGGGACATCCCGTAGTAGTCCCATATGTCCTGAGAATGTCTCGGGATATGTGCGCTGTCCTCAGGATATCCCGCAAAATCCCGGGACGAGTACGAAATCCACAGGATATCCTACAATATACCGTAATGTCCCGGGATTTGTAAGTTAACCTCAGGATATCCTGTAAAGTCCCGGGATATGTACGAATGCCATAGGATATCCCAGAATGTCCCATGACATCCCGGGACATGTACAAAATCCACTGGATATCCTGTAATGTCCCGTAATGTCCCGGTAACAAACTGAAGAAAAAAAATACTATTACTGATGAAATGTACAGTATATCTAAATTTAAATGTTCAACAAGAACAAGGCCAATATATAATAATTTGTTTTTTTCACTAGTGCTTTCAGAAACTTGGTTTCCATCTTCAGGCTGTGTTTACACTAGTACAAAAAGTAAATATTTACTTAATAAATTAATTTTAAACAAAGTTAAAACAGATGATTTAAAGGATATTGGAAAAATAAAAAATAATATTAGAAAAATTAATCTTTTGAATTTTGGATATGTTACAGTGTTGTTCTTGATGTAATTATTTTCAGTAATTCCGAATTTATAATTGGGCCGTCTTCATTATTTAACAAATAATTTTGGTCTGTTTTTTTTTTCTAAAAATAAGATTCCCACGCATTAAGATGTTGAGGTTTTATAATTTATTTTAAAAGTTTAAGGTTTCCCAGATTGAAAATATGTCTTGTTAATACTATGGCTAGCAAGGGTTGACTTTACTTTACTGACATATTACTACCACTGAGTTCAGGAAAACTAGAGTTCTATCATAGTTGTGTGAAATGTGAATTTAATTCTAACTTTAAATTAATAAAACAACAAAAAACTAATTTTAATCATATAACAATCAATTATTACAGTGCTAATCTAATGGTGATTAAATAATCTATATTCAAATACCAGTATCCTCTCCAACTACCAGAAAAACAATTCAACTACTTGAGGTCTAAACAGATTAACAGAATCATATATAGCCTATACTGTAGTATCAAAAATATTTTAAGTATTGCGACCATTGCAACTGTCGGCTACTCTTTAACCACTTGAAAACACCCATAATCAACAAGCGCAGATAGCTCAGGAGGTAAGGTAAGAGGCTCACAAGGCGAAGGTACCAGGTTCGAAACCCGTCTGGGCCAAAAACTTTTTTCTCGTTTTTTTCTTCAAAATTTGTGTTTATTAACTATTTAATCAATTTACTAAACTTATAATTAAGCTTTTCATACTAAATCTATATTATTTTGTGTTTTTTATGTTCAGGCCCAGACCACACTTTATCCCAGGGACATCCCATAGTAGTCCCATATGTCCTGAGAATGTCCTGAGGACTACCCTGGGATGACCTCGGATGTCCCACGGATATGCGTGTGAGCTTATCCGTAGGACATCCCCGGGCGGGGACATTAGGCATTCCTGTGGATTTCCTGTGATATCCCAAGTTGACCATAGGACCACTATGGGATATCTTGCATATCCTGTCGCAATATCCGTGGGATGTCCTGAGGAGAAAGTGTGCTGTCTGGGTACGTTTCATGATGAACAATAAAATTAAGGGTTGAAACTAATTAGTTTCAAATCAATTAGGGAATATGGTACTATCGTAAAATTTGCATAACAATATGAGAAAATGATGATAGATATTACGTCTAAAGTTTAAAGAGCTAAATATAAAAAAACCCTTTTTATTGGAGTGCACGCGCTTAAGGGTATGTTAATGAGAGAAGTCCAGAATGGAATATTTTTTTAAGAAAGGGTTAGGTTGTATATTAATCGGCCTACTATTATAACATTGATTATCTATACAACCCATACTCCAAACCACCTTTCTTGTATATAATACTGTACACGTTACTTGCATAGTAACCAATATAATCAATGGTTAAAAGTGAAAATAATTTTGTTGAGTGCTACAAACCTATTGGATTTCTGTAGGTAGGGGAAGAGACAAAAACCAGATCAAAAACAAAACAAAACAACATAACATAACCTTAAACCTATAACATAACCTACAAGTAGGGAAGTTGATTCAAATTTCAAATTTTTACTCGAATCTCAAACTGTTAAGACTCATTATTTGTTTGCTTATTTGTTTATATTTGTTATTATATTTATTATTTGTTTATACATTTGTTTGCTGTTATTGTAAAATAATCAATTTCTCCTGTATTGACATTTTCTACAATCATGTAAAACCCTTCATTCTTAAATTTCTGTTAAGGTGTGTGTTAATTTACTCCTAGGACAAGAAGTGAACTCAGGGTTCATCCCAAGTGAAGCCAAGTCAGTTATTATAGTAAGAAAATGTGGTTTTATAATTAATTAAGTTATTATAAAATAAAAATACAATAGATATGAGGAACACAAATGAAGTTATGAAGGCATACCGCCTTGGCGATTACAGACACTGTTTACATGTTTTTGGCAATAAGTCATTAGGCCTGAGTTATTTACCAAAAACTACTGAAGATGGGGCAACTTTAAATCAAATTACTAAAGAATTTATCTTGGAAAATAATGAAGCTCTTTGTCATTCAATTGTAAGTAGCAAATTATGTATGGAGGGCCTATTAGGCATATAAGTTAAGCTAAGTTAGTACTGGTACTTCTATTACTTATTTATCCTGAAAATAGAAGTTATTTGGTTTTGGATATCAAGCTCTGAAACTCTTTGCCCAGCATTCCGTCCACAGACGTGACTAGTGGGGTAAAAGATGCATTTCTGGTTTCTGTTATTGTTAAATATTTCCTCTTCTTCTCTCTTTCTGCATTCTCCAACACTTTTTCGTATGGGAGGTTCAAGTACGACGGAGCATCAGTGTCAACGACACGTACATCGAATAATGCTTCCGTCTGAACCTCCCATACACCCCTACAAGCCAAGTCTGCTTTTAGTGCTGCAGTATAAAATGACCCTTGCTCAGAGATCATTGGTTCTCGAACACAGTTTCCCCATGTTAGCTCCATCAAGCTTCCAAGGGTATCCCTTACCTTATTATGTCTTCTTATTATCAAACCACCTGTGCGACAGTTAAGGGCATGTTCCATACTGAAGTTTTTGCCACAGCCATCACATGAAGAGGGTAGGTGTATAGGAGTTTTCCCATATCTTAATGCAAGAGCATCTCTGAACTCCAGTGGAGAAAGATCTAAGTTAAGTTTTTTCAGAGGAATACATGACAGCCATCCACTGTGTTTCGCTTTAGTATTTGCTCCTCGCAAGATAATTTTTGTTGTTTTAGAGGAAGATTTTGAACAGTCGATTTCAAAATGTTTTCTTCTTCTAATCTTCTCTCCTCTTTCAAGTCCTTTTTTGTGATAATCAAATGTTCTTCATGTTCTTGCATACTTATTTTCCTCTTAGTTTTTAGGGAGTCTATGATGAATTTACTACATCTCTTTGAAGCTCGGAACGATGATATTCCCTGAGCGGTAGGATCAACTAAACCAATTCCTCCATTTTTTACTTGCAGATGTAATATTTTTTGTTCATCTTGGTTCAGGTGAGAGCCAAATAAAGCAGGAAATAGGTTTTGTTCTATTGAGTTTTTTATTGGATGGAAATTAATGTCTTCACTTTCAACAACTCTTTGAAAAAAATTCCATTTAGCTTGTATGGATTTTGTGGCAACAGTGTGTGCAGATTGTGGGTATTTTTTAGCTACATTCGCCAGACTTACCAAATGACTATTCCACTTTTCTACCTTCTTTTTAATGAAGACATCTTTTTCAGTTTTGTCACATCCAATAAATCCTCCTAAATAACTACTCCCAGTAACAATCTCTAATCCTGATATGTTACTATTGCTGTATGGTTACTTTATTCAAAACCTAAATGATCCTTTTACTGTAATTGTTAGAACTCGCGTGAAATAAAGAACTTTACAAAATATTATCTAATAAAGAACTGATTTAATGCTGATAAATAACAAATATTTTATAACATTTCTTTGTATTGTTATGTTCTTGATCACTTTTAAAATTCTTTACACAACTCTTCTCTATTGTTTAAATAAATTAAAATAAACCATCTGTTCATAAAAACAAAGACTAACAAATTATTATATTTTATGTTGATTAATATTGAAATTTGTATTATATAAAATATAACTCGATTTCCAACATCCTCCCCACCTTGGAATTTTGTTTTACACTATCAAAATTTCAAACAAAACTATTTACATATTTTTTTTAGTTCACAAATCCATTTTCCTTGGGAATTTTGATCTTCTTCCCTCTTCTTGTTTCTGTAGAGGTTGAGGAAGAGGAATTATCTTGCCTTTCAACATATACGAGCATTGCAAGATACCTTTTCTTAAATCTTGATCTCTTCGATGTTTTCATCATTCTCTCAAGTTGTTTCCACATACTTCCCCACCATAGGGTGCTCGGAGGATCGAGCTTCCAGGATATTTGATTGATCTTCAATGTATGTTTCATGGTTTTCCGATCCAACTGCTTCCTGGATTTCATTACACAAGATGGAATTAAATTAACCAAATTTGGACCTGGAGCAAAACATTTGTTTAAAGAATTACCTCTTTTGTTCTTTGTAGACCCATCAAACACTGGCTTTAATTTTGTAGTTAAGCTACTGTCTTTTGTCACTGGGCGATGCAGCAATTGATGAACCGTTATCGACTCTGCTGGATCTGGAACATTTTCACCAACACAGTCCCTTAATTTGTTGGGAGTATTTAGTCTTTTGCTTGATGACAAATTTTCCACATCAATGGAGTCTCTCTGTTTCTCCCCAATGGGATCCCTTCTTCTGATTGTCTCCCAGCTACCTAGATCTCTGGATTCTGGTTTACTCTGGCAAAATAAAGTTAGAAGAGACGTATTACGACTTCCACTGCATGGTTGTTTCCCCATCACGGTCCACCCAAGGTACGTTTCGATGGCAACTAGTTTCTCGTCAATCTTCTGGATAGCTCCTGTGTACAAATCCACTAATACATCTGCACCAAGTAAAATTTTAACATCTGGTACATTTTCACCCACATCAGTTAAAATAATGTTCTTTTCTTTCAATATGTCAAAATACTCTTCACTCTTAAGCCTAGGTACATGGTTGCAAATTGTTTCTTGATCTGTCACAGGAATAGAGATCTTGAAAGAATTATTTACATTTTGAAGAGTAACAAGGTAATTTTTGTGAGAATTTTGTTTTAGATTTACTCTACCAAACAAACTATGATTTATGACTTCACTACCTGTTTCTTGTAGACCTAATTTAGTGACACAGTCCTTAGTAATGTAGGATCTCTGGGAACCTGGATCCAAAAGTGCTCTTCCCAAATACTCTTTACCTTTCTCATCTGCAACCTTAACTAATAGAGTCTGTAATAAAGTTTCTCCTGTACCGTTTCCAAAATTACTGAGAACCTCTGACTTAGGCTTAGTTATACTTTGCTGCAGTAAGTCTGGCTTGTCAACATCAATTTTAGATCGAGGCCTACTTTCATATAAGTCCCTACACATGATTCCATAATGCCTTTTACAACAGAAGAGACATTTGACAAATACCTTGCACTTTTTTGCTGTGTGACCTTGCTTCAAGCACACAAAGCAGCAATTTTTCTTTTTCAGATGCTCCTTTCTTCCATCTAAAGTCAATTGTTGAAAATAGGAACAATCTTGAGCATTGTGCCCTCCTTTAGAACAATAAGTGCAGTTACTCACCAACCTTCTAGGACCCTCTGTACCAGTTGTCAATAGAGCTGCTACCGTAGGTTCACTCTGACAAGGTTCGTGAACCGTTGACATTTTCCTGGGGCTGCTGCATTTGCTGTTGTTGTCTCCCGGAGTGGCAGATTTAAAACTAGAACGAGCAAGCGCCAGCCTCTCTTCACTCTCCACCTCAGCCTTTAGAAAATCAAGAAGTTCTTCTAGAAAATTACTAGAAATTACTAGATCTGACGATGTAGAAGTTGAGGGTGTGTGTAGTAACCTACTTGAACGATGCCGCTCCCAGGCTCGTAATATTTCTTCGGGCAAAGCAGATTCTACAAGAGGATACAGTATTGAAGCATACTTGTCTGAAGTGACTCCTAAAGTTTCAAGTGCCCTTAACTGTGTTTCTAGTTTGTCATACAGTCGGCATAGTTTAGTATTAGGACCTAGCGTTACTTGTTGGAGCACTAAACTGAGCAGTTCCCTCACATATACTTCTATTAAAAAGTCATCCCTACCAAATCTTGCTTTTAATTGTTCTAGGGCCTTTACATAGTTAGTTCCAGATGGGGGAAAACTTTCTACTAATTCCCTAGGGGATGATCCTAGCTTTAAAGATTGGATGAGGTACTGGAACTTATCCTCAGGTTCTAGATCAGGATCCTCATGGACCTTCTTAAACTGCCCCCAAAACCCTATCCAATTTTTTTACATCTCCATCAAACTGGTTTAATTGTAATTTAGGTAGACTTAAGCCCTTCTTAGACACTAATTTAAGACTGTGAACGGTATCCCCGACTTCACTTCTTGACTGTTGGCTTAGGCCAACCTGAATAATGAAATGGTCATACTTAGCTCTCATTGAAGATAACATGTCTCTGTAAGATTCTGTAGTATCAAACTCAGCTTCTAAGTCCTCTTCTGTTGTTGCAGGATCTTCAAACAAGGCTTCCTCGATGTCTTCATCTAGCTTAAAAAGCCTATCAGCTTTATCTTGCAACTTGTTTAGATTACTTTTAATTGCTGCTTCATATTTAATATCCTCTGCCAGTAATTTATCCATTTCGTTACTACACTTTGTAAAAGTCCTTCTTAGTTGAGTCCTTTTTGTCTTTAATGACTTCAGCTTATCCATTGTAAAGTAAAATATAAGCTTAGTCCTAAATCTGAATTTTAACTATAAAAATGTCCTGTCACGGTCGCCACTATGTTAGAACTCGCGTGAAATAAAGAACTTTACAAAATATTATCTAATAAAGAACTGATTTAATGCTGATAAATAACAAATATTTTATAACATTTCTTTGTATTGTTATGTTCTTGATCACTTTTAAAATTCTTTACACAACTCTTCTCTATTGTTTAAATAAATTAAAATAAACCACCTGTTCATAAAAACAAAGACTAACAAATTATTATATTTTATGTTGATTAATATTGAAATTTGTATTATATAAAATATAACTCGATTTCCAACAGTAATACTGTAACACTTGTGTGTTTTTCCAGGTTGAGTTTGAAAGAAGTAAACAGACGTGGTTGGAATCTCTATATCGCTTTACACAACTATACTCCAAGTATAAGAGTTTACTTGTGATTCCTATAGAACTAGAGATGACTGTGATATACAATACACTGTGGTGGTTTTGGATCAAGCCAAATGTGTTTCCAACGTCTTCACATCATTTAGAGACTTTTTGGAAATCCGTTTCTTGCTGCCTGATTAAAGGTATGAGATTTATTGTGGCTTCAACAATTGTAGCTTATATTTTTCTGTATAAGTTTTACTGTTTTGTTTGTATGGCTCTTTGAGCCAACTCTCATGAGAGAAACGCAAGTCCTTGGATTTCTAAAGCCAACATTGTAGGTGTCACCCTCGTTAATTAATGAAAACCTTTAATACACAGTGCCAAACCTAATGTTTGAGCAATAGTCCAACCTTGCTCAATCAATGCAAAATGTTAATTGTTAGGTGTAAAAAAGCGGAGGGTATTAATTGACTTTTGACTTGGTACTTCTTAGTCTGTAATTAGTATTCTACTAACTTGACAATATCTATTTGTCTAAAGATGACAACCAGTAGGGTGTCGACATATTGATTTTGAACAGGCAATCTTTATCTTATGAAGTATAAAGTGTCGGTGGACAGAAACTGAACTTATTTGAATAATAAATTGCCCTGCATTTACCCTGCTAATGCAGTATGACAATTATGAAATTAAGTGTTCTGGAAGGCCATTGCTCAATGCTATCCCAAAATAGAGAAACTTCTTTGGCCCTTAAGAGGATGGCTTTTGAGATCTTATTGTAATGCTGCAGTGTTTCAATCAATCTCTCCTTCTACCCATTTTTGTGAAACCTTAATGTTGTAATGCAGTTCACTCGAACTCCTTTTGCTTTTTTTTTATCGTGTTGCAACCTTTCATTTAAACTTCTTTTGCCCATTTTTTTAGACCTTATCACAGCACCGCAGCCTATCACTCAAAAATATCTCTCCTTTTTATCATCCTACTGAATGACCCTCAGGCTAATATAAAAATAAGTTGGTTATAAGAATTTTTGTCTCCTCACTATACATGTTTGATAATTAATTAAACTATCATATGGGATATCAATTTTGGCGTTTAGTTATCATCCTGTTACTCAGTATATTTCTCAACAAGTATCCCGATGTCAACAATCATACTAATTAGAAATTTCATTATGTTGAATTTTAGCCTCCTGATCGCATTTAAATACTATAAATTGGTGTAAAATACCTGCATTTACGGATCTTGTTTGTAGCTGAGTTGCTACCGGTTTCAACTCACATTGGAGTCATCTTCAGGCAGTTATAAGATGTCTTCTCGCTTCATTCGAAGGTCGTCAATAGATAATAAATAAATATACAAAACACAAACACGTACACGGACATAAAAAGGAACATTTAAAGCTGTAAAATACTGAAAACGGTAGGCCTACGGGACACGACATTGTTATGTCTAGACATAACTTTCGCCCGATCACGTTGTGTCGTGTCCCGTAGGCCTACCGTTTTCAGTATTTTACAGCTTTAAATGTTCTTTTTTATTTCCGTGTACGTGTTTGTGTTTTGTTTATTTATTTATTATCTATTGACGACCTTCAAATGAAGCGAGAAGACATAACTGCCTGAAGATGATTCTAACGTGAGTTGAAACCGGTAGCAACTCAGCTACTAACAAGATCGCATAAATGCAGGTAGGCCTATTTTACACCAATTTATAGTAGGCCCTAATTAGAAATGTAAAAAAAGTTATTTCTCTTGGCCAAAAGTATCTTTTCAATTATTGATCATTTTTCAGCCTCGGTTGTTCAACTTGAGGTCATTTTGAAATGAATTATTAAACCCTAATTATTGAATAGGTACCATTCAATTACAATAAATAAAAAACTATTCTTTGTTTTTACAGTGCTTAAATCAAGAGGAGAAGTGATTTTAGGCGAAGATGCTTCAGACGACGTGTCAAGTGTCGTAAGTTTACTCAAACGAGCTTCCGACCAACTCTTGTGCCTCAGCCCGGTGGCTTGTGTCAGATTGTTGGATGTAATAACAATCATAACCCAAGTGTTACTCAAGGAGGCGTTATTTGGTACTGCCGCAGAATGTATGACTATGATGTCTAGAATTGTCCATAAAATTGACGTGTTGCGTCTTCATGTTGAAAAAGGCATAGGTCTAACCACTGATAAAGAAGAGTTTTATTTTAAATTTGGTTTCAAATGTTTAAATTCTACAGCTTCGCTTAAGGACTGTACTGATTCCATCAATGCTTTTATTACCACTAGTAGTATGAACTGTGAGTTGAATAAAGAATATGAGCAATCAATCAAATGTTTGGAAGCAGTGTCTAAAGAAGATAGTTCAGATAATTTCTTGATGAACTATTTAAAAGGTGAGTCTGTTGGTATATAAATTTTGTTGGTTTGCCCATAAGTCAGTTAAGACTTTGTTACATTTCAAACGTAGCTCGTTTTAACTTCGTTCCTATACCAAAAATCTGGACTAAAGACTTGAGTTATTTATATAAGGGTGCAGTATGGATAATAGGTTTCAAACTTTACCGGTATATGTTGAAATAAATAACTAGAAAAACTATTTCTCTCTAATACCATAGTCAAATAGAATACATATAGACTGCCAAAGGAAGGTTCCACGATGTGCTGCTCGGTGTTCAATTCGCTGCCGTTGTCGGCTCCTCGCCGTATGCTACCAGCAGACGCTGCAGTGGTGTGTGCCGTAACTACACGGCAATCCTAGCGGTGGAGGCCAGAACTTATACTAACCGCAACACAGCTGACGGTCTCTATTTATTCTATTTGTCTATACTAATACCAAAATGACAAATAAGTCATAAGTTACCCCCATTTGGGGAGAAGCACAGGTGCTTTTCCAGTCAGATGTGCCCAAAATGCTTCCATGATTGCTCAAATTGTGCCTTTCATTTACAACAATGATCCTTTACAAGTTACATGCACAAACAATTTCATAAGACGAGTCAAAATACAACTCGAGTCTTTGTGACGTGTTTATCATGGAGCTTGTAGGAACAAAACAATATAAACTACGCGTGAATGTAAATTATATATTGAAACTTACTGTTGATTGAAATAAACAACTGTAAACTTAGATAATTTTAAAGTTAAAATTTGTTCTACCTTTAGCTGTTGATAGTAGTGTTCATCACATTTTCATGTAAGAATTAATTGTAGTATTAGTCAGTTTAAAAATAAACATGGGCTTAGTTGACTTGAACCATCAATGGAGTCTGCATATGTAAATGACTGATTTTGGTAAAATTCACCAAATTTCCAACCATGATGCCAAATTACAAGGCTGAGTTATTGTTCACTCTAGCATATTTTATATCAAATATAGTAAGTATTAAGATAACATAATGTATTATTTTGACAGCAGTACACTACATAAGGGGCTCATTTAACTGTGTTCTTTTTTTAATAAAGAATTAGTCTCAGCTAGTCTATATAATTTGGGTTGCTTACCCATACTGTAAGGTCATACGTACATTGGGACTGACCAATTCTCATCACTATTTTCAGCGCACTGTAACTTGATGTCTCAACAGCTGATAGAGGCAAAGCTGTGCCTAGCCTACGTCATGTCAGGGCCAGTGCCGCCGCTGCAGCTGGCGCACTACAGGTTGTTGTTGGCACGACTGCTCGGTGCACAGGGCGAGCAACAGACAGCTCTGGCGCAGTGCGACGCCGTGCTAGCCTCACACCCAGACCACTGTAGGTTGGCTAGCCTCGCAGCACATCTTGCGTCACAACTGGTAAACACCTCCGTGAGGCTCAGCTATCTCAGGAAGCTTGTACAGGCAAGATATTCAAATCAAATCAAATCAATTTATTCATCACAAAAATTCATAGTACAGAGGCTGAATATCAGCAATGAATATGTGACATGTCAGTACAAATCATGCATTATAAATAGTTTACACATAATAAATACATACAAATATTAAGACAGGGGTGCCCATCCCCCCCTAGACTCATGACGCACCCCCCCCCCCCAACTGAGCACCAGCCCCCCCACCATAAAGGAGGTACACAAAAAATTAGAAACATTATTCCCCCGCCCAGCATTATTTGTAAAACTAAAAGAAGTTTTATACATGTTTTGCGATATTGAAAATTCAAACCCATTTAATCTATATAAATAAAGTTATAGTTTTGTCTGTATTGCTCAGAAGTATACATATTTTGGTTTATTTTTACGTTTTATACATTAAAGAAGTTGAAATATGTCTTATATCGTCCGTCTCAGGGCCGGGGATAGTAGCTGCTATCCCCGGCCCTGCGTCCGTCTGTCACCGCCCAGAAGGCATTTTATGCAGCCTACTCTAAAAAGAAGAAACAGAAAACTAGAGTGCCGATTATGATTGTAATGGTTTAATTGTATTCACAGGATTGGCGAGAGTGTCCTTAGCTATTAAAATATGGCCTCACTATTTTGGAAATAAAATAACAGACTATCAAAAACCAAATTTTGTGTGATTTTTCAAGTTTTTTTTCGCCATGTTTGCTACATACGTCATTTATGAAATACTAATAATCTGTTAAGAGAACACGTCATATATGAAATTACGAACAGCTGTTTTGATCAAGATTCCTTTTTCTAGCTGTCACTGATATGTTTACATAAAATGTTTTACGAATACTGTGTAGGCCCTAACCATTTCCGATCACGTTTGCAAATCCAAAATTAAGTGAGATTAATAACCATGTGGCTTACATAACGGGTTTGATTTATCACGGGTGCTAATGTGTAACAGTAAATTAAATTATATAACTAGCCATCATCCAGGTCGGGAACCGGAGATTCTGTGTGTATCAAGTTGTACTTGAATTCTGATTACCGGGGAAAAGACAGTGAAACAGTGTTGTACAGGTCTGGAAAACTTATCTTTCTATATAAATAAAATTAGAGTTTTACAAGTCACCTCGATTTAGGCTAAGGAATTTTTATTGCCAAAATATCTACATAGCGTTCGTAACCTCTGCTTAACGAATTGTCAGCGTCTTTCTCTTGATATAACGACCCCCTCTCCCTACCACAAAATCGTTTTGGAAACATCACAGCTCCTTTGATGAAAATAAATGGAAAAATTACTTCAACGCTTGCGCCAACAATCGTCTGCTCCGTTACACTTCTGTCTGCTGTACGCAACATATTTCAGATACAACAGCTGAGGAATGATGACGATTATAATGCTTAGTAAACTGTGATTGAGTGATTAGTAACCATATGGTAACTTTAGTAAGGCTGTGATTGGACAATGAGTTTGCCTAAATATGGCGACTTGTTGAATTTGTGTATGAATTGAAGAGAAACCTAATAAAGAAGAGAAGAATAAAGAAAAAGAATAACAAGATTGTTCTAATTACACATTCTTTATTAAGAGTGTTTTTACTATCTCTAAATATAATTTTACACTTTTTTATGACTTATCTATCAATTTCTATGTTGTGATACAGCACCTACTTGTAGCCTATCTGTCTATCATGAGCAGTAGCTTATAACACTTTCTAAGGTTTAATATTTACGTCATTTATAGCAATGCAGTAGGCCTATTTGCTGGCTAGTTAGTTGAGTTTGAGTTGGCTATAATTTTAAACGTTGCCGTTTGTAAAACTGAACCAAGATAAATGATTTGAAATGTTATTATTGCACAATAATAATGATTGTGCAATATTGAATTTCGTTGATAAAAAGGCAAATCATAACGTTAATGGCTGTTTTCAGCGTTTTGATGGGTTTGTCATCTGTTTTTATACTGCACCATTGGATTAACCGTATTTTTCATTCCCCCCCCCCCTATTAACTCAGGTAATTGAGTATCTACACAATAGTGTTGTAGCCTATGCTACTTGATTGTATTTTAACGAGATTTACCTACACGAATCCTAAACCATCCTAAAATTATATTTAAACTTGAATTCAATAATATAACTATTGTCATTAATTAATAAACTTTCTTTCTGGTGACTTCGTAGTATATTTTTGATTGTCGTCACGTTGAACACTGTTGCAATTAACTTTAGCCGCCCCCCCCCCATTTGAATTTTTTGCAACCCCCCCCCCCCAAGAATTTCAATGACGCACTCTGCGTCACAGCCCCCCCTTGTGGGCACCCCTGATTAAGATTACAGTTGACAGGATAAAAATGAATTCATGTCATAGGGACAAAGTGCAGTTTTAATTTCATGTAGAGTTTAATCTACCATTGTATTGTGTACCAGTGGTATCATTTAAGGTTATTTTACATACCCTAGTCTTATTAATGTCAGGTACTCTATGTACTTTATTCTTTTCTGGTTGTTCTTGCGTTTCAGTTCAACTAGGCCTCTCCAAATTCTTCTATTACCTATTGACTCCTCCAACTTCTACCATACCACTTCTATCTTCTCCATATCCCTTATCATCACATTTATACTTTTTTCTAGGTTAGCTATCACCGACTGCATATCCAGGTAACATATTTTAATTTTGTTGTTTTTGCTGTGTTCAACACCCTAGCCATTTTATGGTATTTCAAGAGTTTACTTGCATTTTGTTACCTATCTCTACTACCTCTTACGTTCTGGTTTCTTCTATCCATCTATAGTCCAACTTTCTCAGTGGTGGAGTTAATAATTTTCCAGTGCAAGAATATTCACCTTTGTCTCAGGAAAAAATTGGGTCACCTATTAGTATAAAGTATTTTTTGATAAAAGCAGAGTAGGAATACCACTTCACACGTTTCTGCCCCAATACATCACTGCTGTTCCTCTAAAATATGTCATCTCACTTCTCTCTTCTTTACCATTTCTTTTGTCCACCTTTCTTCTAGGCCTTCATCTCCGTCTCCTTTCCTTCTATAAACATCCCCTATTTTACTAGGGATTCCCTCTTATTACATTCTTCTCACTATGTCCTTCATTCTTGATTTTAACTCTCCCTCTGAAGCTGTGTTTAACTACTCATCTTCTGAAGCTTTGAAGAGTGCCCTTTTAACATACAATGGCTAAGCTTATATTGAAAAAATATAATAAAAAGGCATGATGTGTTGTAAGCCCCACTTCTAAATAAAAAACCATTATCAAAAAAATCATAAAATTTGTGATGTTTGTCCCAATTAGAAACACTGGTGTCCAATTTCCTAACTAATGCTAATCTACTTACAGCTTAACTGAATATTAACTGAACAGGAGACTGTACAGAATTTTAGGCCAATAGTTTAATTTACATAACAACATTACCAACTAATTAAAAAAATTGAATTTTAAAACGGTAAAATTTACCCAATGCTTAAATTTTGTAAATCATCCACTACCTCAGAAACTGCTTGAAATTCACCTGTTACTTTACAATTTACTACCGAATTGTTTAAAATCTTGAGTTAAAAACTAAGTACATGGGTTTGGATGAACACTATTTTAGAAGTCGCTCAGGGTACATGTCAAAAACATAATTACAGTAATACCCCTAATATCCGGCCTCGGAATTTCCGGTCCTCGGCTTACCCAGTCACTTCCCAGAATCGATAGTAAAAATATTTCCCAGGGCTGTACATGTAGGTAGTCTCCATGACGTTCTCATAGTTTATCTGTTTCCTGTAAATTTTAATTTTTTTTTACATTTTTTCCTGTACATTTTTGAATACATTTTTAGCGGGTTCACTACTCAGTTGAGCTAGAAGATTCCAAAAAGAGACTTAAAAACTACTTTTAACCATACAAAAGTTGTTATTAGATCAAAATTATTGTTTTAATATAGTTTGGTCATTCGGCCAAAATGTTATCCGGTCAGGGGCTCAGTCTCATGTAGGCCGGATATGAGGGGTTTTACTGTAATTTACAAAAACATTTATTATATATTTGATTTAATTTTTACAGAGTTTGAAAACTGAGTTATCTCAAGATAAGGGACATTTTGAAAGTTTTGAAGAATGTTGCATTTTAACGCTTTCGAGACAATTCTCAATTAGTTTGCCAGAAGCGGTCTACAAGCTGGCGAGGCAGCTGTACCTCACTGGGGTATGTAAGTACCATATAATAAAAATATCTTTGTATTATTTTTAACTTTTGTATTTTTTACTCTCTATTATGATCAATACAGTAACCCCACTACTGAAACACGTACACTTAGCCACTGGTCTAAGACTACGCATTGTGATGAAGTAGTAAAGGGTAGCAGAGTGGTATGCAAATATGAGGAGTTGACAAACTATTTATGAATGGATTGACGAATATTTGTTTATGGTGGTATGCCAAATGTGAAACCAAAGGTACAGTCAAGTTCAGGCAATTAAATTATTACGTGTATCTTCAAAGTGAATCAGAGTGGCTTAAGGGTTTGTCTTGATGCATCTGTTAAGGTGTACAGTCATGCCAATCAGAAATAGTTCGTAATTGTAGAGTAGACTTAATAGAAGACCACAGCAGGTCCAATTACTGAAGATCGGGTAGTTGAGAATCTACATGTTAATGTTTTTAAGGGGAGCATAAGGTTAATGTATATTAATTATAGAGATTTTGAATTATCTCGACTATATTTAAGGAAGATTTTGTGTTTTGGGTTGCTATGCCAGCGAAACTTTTTTATGTTTTGAAAGGGAACGTGACAAATCCTAGTTTTGTTACCATTTAATGTCAACATCTTGTTTGAAAGCTTCATTATTAATTGATCAATGACAATGGCAACTGGGCCCAGAAACAGTCTTCAAAGAACAACGTTTGGATTTGAAGTCGAGCACTAACCACACGGACACCCAGACTTTAAGTTCGTAGTTTCGCATTTAGGCTTTGAATATAGACACCTTTAAATCAGAGTTGTATTTTTCTGTCTGAGCTGAGTAGGTTACTCATTGAGTTATTTAAGGATTTTATAATGGGTAGGTTTAACAGCTTGCTTACATTCCTGATGAAAGTTGAAAATGCACAATAAACACATCGAATCTTCAGAGGTACTAGCTTCTTCTTCGGTAGTAGAGTCTTTCTATGTTCTTGTTAGGCCTAGTACATAGTCTCAAGATCATAAAAAACTGTTTTACTGAAGAAGGAGCTACAGTAGAACCTCTTTAATCCGAACCAATTGGGACCAGGGGTAGTTCGGACTATTGAATAGTTCGGATTACAGAAAATATTGTTGTTTTTACATAACAATAGCTAAAACATGGCTAAAATTGATCAACATTATTTTGGGAATAGTGAAAAAATGTTTTATAAAGTAAAATACAGTGTTTATATAATAAAGTAGTTAACATGGTGAATAAACAGTACTGTAAATTAAATACATTATACAATAAAGAACTGCTGCTGTACTGTGTATAGAGTACAGCAATGAGGGGTTCGGATTAGTGGACGTTCGGATTACGGGGGTTCGGATTAAAGAGGTTCTACTGTATTAGTTCAGAAAATGTTGCTTTTATTTGTGCATTATCATCTATTTTTGTCAATAAGGTAAGCCTGCTGTACCTATCTTTTACAAAATCCTCAAAAACTTTAGCCTAAAGTCATTCCTACTGAAATTGTTATATCATTAAGTTGTTTATCATCTGTTTGACTTTACAGTATCATGTAAAGTCACTGGACAGCTACAAAGAGTTGCTGGAACTAGTTTCTCAGTCTGCAGAACGTTCCCCCCAGCTGCCTCACAGATCTCAGATTACTCAGGAATGTATTCTTGCACACATCAAGTCCAACAACATCTCTGGTAACATAAACTTAACTTTTTAACATAGTTCAATTTCAATTTCTTTCCTATTGGTAGTATTAAATTAAGTTTTAACCTTTGAAGCTCCCAAAGGGGATGTTTTACAAATGTGACCCAACGAAACTTTTACTTTACAAATATCTAAGAATGAATTAATTTTTCAATCCATCCGAATTTGTTAGTTTGCTAACACCTCATTTCTTTTCTACTTTGTCAATTTATTTATTTTGCATAGCATTTTCCTTGTTTTTGTAAGCACTAGAAAATGGCCTACTCTTAACCACATTCAGCACCTCTTAAGCTTTTAACGTCCATAATACTTTGTCTGTGTCTTTTATCAATCAAAATGTGATCAAATTGATTTCTAGTCCCTTCGTCTGGTAATACCCATGTTTTTCCTTGGGAATGAGGTGCTTGCAACTGTATAATTTGTGGCTCATGCCAGGCTAAGGAGCCTAGTTCCATTTTTGTTACTGTTACTATGTAAATTCTCTTTTTCACAATAGTCTGTATTAGTTTCATAGTCTTCCCATATATCTTTTTTGACAACTTTTGCATTTAGAATCTACTAGTATAATTACTTTTATATTTTAGTTAGGCCTTTGACTCACTAATAAAATAACTGTTCTAATTGACCATAAAAATCATCTTTCTCGTCATCACTCTTATCCTCCATTGGAACACAAATGTTTAGGCTACCACAGATAGGTTTATAAATTTTACTTTTAATCTCACATAACACAGTCTCATTAACAACTTCAAATTTGCCTAGATTATCTACAATATTTTTTTGATGACAAATCCCACTCCTGCTTGAAGTATGCCATCATGTCTACCACTGTAGTAAAACGTGAAATTTCAAGCGTTAATGATTCCTTTAAATGGCCACCTAATTTCCTGCAGGGCTACGACATTCATTTTGTACTTTTCCAGTTCCTGATAATAATGTCCATAGCACCTGACACCTCCAGATAGCGGTGACAACGTTCCAGCTTCCAAATCTCGAGTCATATCCAGCTTTGGTCGTTGTCCAATGTGATTCATCCTATACGAGGCATTCCGTAACCAGGGTTGTTTTACAAGGGAGGGTGGTTAGCCCATCACCTCAACCCCCAATATAAATGGAGGACCTACTTCTGGTCAGCGGGTCCATGGGACCTAGCCGGGAGGACTGACAAGCAGATCCACCGACCTTTCCCCTATCCGCCACCCAGGGGACGCTCCGTATACGCTGAAGTAGGAAAGCGCACGGATACTTTATTACTACATACATACATAAAATACTAACACTAGGTACAAAAGATACTTAATACTATATACATGACTTACTTAACTAACGAGTTGGTTCTAACTCATATACTGTTTCATCTTCTTCAGGTCTTGTCCTTTTATTCTGTTTGCTTGTCTTCAATCGGCTCACAGTGTTGTTGCAGAACTCTTTAGTTTCTTCCTCTTGCAGTTTCCCAGATATTCCATCTTCTCATCCATAGTTGCATCATCTCCTACATGTCATCATTGACGCTTTACTCTTTAGTCTAAACAATCAATCATTTCAACTATGTGGATCCTTTTTGTTTCACTGAAGCAATACAACATAAGGTCTCTGTGTAGTTCTATTAATCTCTCATTTTCCCAGGAGTTGCTACTTGGTTGCTTACTATATTGACCCTTTGCTAGATCTTATGTAGCAATAGTGACAAGAAGGGAAGAATACTGCCAAGCTTACAGTGGTATTTTATCTTCCAGAGCTGCTATATGTTGTCCCCTCTGGAATGGAGCAAATACACTTAACTTTCTTGAATCTGTATTCTTCCTCAAAATAATTTTAGCAGGAGGAAAAGTTTTATCTTGCATCAGTTTAATGTGTCAGTGAATGAATGAAATAAATCGTTTCTATGGAGACATAAAATTATTTACTAACATGCTGTTGTTCAAGAACCTTAGGCCTTTTACAATGAATGGCTAGATCTAGCCATTCCATTTCTATTGTATAAAGTTTAAGCGAAATTTAGAATGAAAAAAAAAATATTATCTCTATATAAAGCCAAAAAAATGATTTTTTTACGAGGTGTTCCTTAAGGTCGAGCTCGAAGTTAACTTATATAACTTAATATTGACGGTTTCACTTCTTGCTTTGTTACACATTAACTCTAATCTACTAATGACGACTAACAGCTGGCTGGATTAGCTGTATACTAATGACGACTAACAGCTAGGGGGCCTGGGGGCGGAGCCCAGGCTCGCTATATTTAAAGCCAAAAGTACCCATGAACTTTTGAGAAAAAAGTCACACCCCCATAAACCATATACTTAAAATGTTCGTTATGACGAGAAACGTTGTGCAAAACTATCCATTATTTCATAAATTGCCCTTTAAGGTAGTAATTCCTTTCTAAAGGGAACTTTCCATATACCTAATGTTAAAAATACCTCAGCTGTACTTATTTGTTTGTATTACTGTATTCTGTTTTGTTTATTTCAGCTTAACTTAACCTGTTATTAATACTTATAAAGTCAAATGGGGTGAAGCCCGTGAGTAACAGAACAGCTAGTTTATTTAAACTAGATTGAGCCTCCAACATGGGTCATAGGCTGGCATCAGCCGTCAAATTGAAAGAAGCTGCTAATTAGCTTAATTTAACAACAAAATTTGCAGCTGGCCCTGGTAGCCACGCAAGTATTTGTCGGCGGCTGGCGAAGTCAGACATTAACCGGTGGGGCACACGGAAGATTTCTCAGGTGCCGTTTGACATCACTAACTACTGCGTCTGAATAAACAGACAATTTTAAAATTTTTCTATTATTAAATTAAACTGTCATAACCTAACCAAACCAACCAAACTTGCTGATATGAAAAAAATTGTTGACAAAAAGTTAGTGCTACCAGCGGGATTCGAACCCGGTACATTCGGATTATCAGCCCGACACGCTATCCACTACACCACCAGGGCCGATGACTCAAAACCGTATCGTTGCTGTAATGGTGTTGCCTCAAAGTGACGTCAACAGTTAGTGACGTCAAACGGCACCTGAGAAATCTTCCATTTGCCGTTTTGAGACATATACAGCTTTTGGGAGGCAAACATCAGTGACTAGCTGGTCACATGATCACTCGCTAAAGACAGCCAAAAGCAAAGTCTTACCACCTCTAGAAGCGTGCTAGCGGTGACCAAAGTAACACGGTGGTTTGTTGTGTCCTTGTTTTGTTTTTAATGGTTCTATATGATTATGTTAGTAATTTGTAGTGTAGAAAAACTGAGCTAAACTGGTCGGGGAACAGGCAATTATTTATTTTTAATTTTGATCCGTCATTGTGGGACATTTCTTTAAAGTAGTATTTAGGAACTTCAAAGAAGCAGATTACAGTGAGTTTTTGCAAAACCTCAGGGATGCTGGAATACCTGCTACAGATTTTTTTCACACCATCAATAATCGCTTTAGTATTCGTTTACGGTCCCACGGACGGCATAGCGACTAGAACTGATTAGGCGAGAGCCCGAGTATTGTGACTGTGCCGCAAGCAGCCTAGTGTGACCCGTGCTTTTAATCTGATAGTAGCGGCGTCTTTTAATTCCAAGCTGATGCCAGCCTAGTGTACTCCTGCTGCTTTACGTGCTGGGACTGTGTAATACAGGACTTGTGATTAAAAAAATTGAAAGAGCCTATTCTTTAGAGGGATGAACTGAGCAAATAACCATAATAGTTTTTGTAAAAATGTAATGTATGTGTTTTTTGTTGTTGTTTTTTTAGGGTCAGGAAGGAAATATTTTGATATATTTCATCACAAGGGCATAAAGTGACTCTTTTTGACCTGAGAAGAAAATAAATGAGGGCTTAAAAAGACACTTATGTGATGAACAAAATTTGTTCTCATAAAATATTTTAATGTAAAGCTGTTGAGTAAGTGATTCGATCATTTATTGCGATTGATTATCATTATTACGATTATGTTAGTCTCTAAATTATACTATTAATATGTCAATATGAATCATTAGATACTTAATTTTGTTAGACCTACATGGGATTGCTTAAAATTGGTAAAAAACTGAGTTTCATGGGCGCCCGCAGGATTTGGAACAGGGAGGTACATTATAATGGTCAAATGAACGTCTGGGGGGTCCGCGGCTTTCCCCAGAAAATGTCTGAAAATATAATGTTTTAAAACATATTTTTATGCTATTTGGTAACACATAGAACCAACCAAAACTAAATAGTATATTGTGCATTAAGGAGGGTAAAAGTCATCGTTTTTATGCCAACATTAAAAACTAATAAGCTATTTGAAGTTATTATGTATAATTTATATGGTTAAATCCACAAGCCAAACAATTATAAGGGAAAATAAATTTACAGTTGAATAAAGCTTAGATGACAGCCAAGAAACATAGTTTTGTTAAAGTATAAAAGTAAATCTGTGTGTAAACTACTTATTTGAGTTAAACATAAATTTAAAAATTTTGCAGAAATGACCATTATAAATGTTCTTTTATAATTTTTGTAAAACCCAAGTGATTAAAAAACATTTTGGGTATTAAATTTATTCGTTATTTTTATAGTCGGGGGATGCAAGTGCACCCCCCTGTGGGCGCCCATGCTGAGTTAATTTTACCCTAGGGAGTAAAAGAGCTACTTTAGATCCGCAATGCTTGTATTAAAAGCAGTATGATGAAAAATGTGTTTACTTACACACACAGGTGGCCAGTTTGTAGTGTGGGATTCCTATGCTAATATGGCTTTAAGACCCATTAAAAACCTTCGTACTCTTCGGACACTATCTTGGGAACAATTGTTGAATTGTTGCTCTTATTCAGAACTAGGGCGAGTATGCTTGTGCCCAAAGGGCTCACTTCATGTTCAGCCGTTCATTTCTTACACAACCTAGACAGCAATCCAATCTAGGTCTTTAGTTTCTACTTGGAGGTTCGGAAGTGCGACCAAAAGTTTTAGTTCTTCTCATCCTGCATCATGATCTTACAAATCAATTGAACCGACAGCACCCTAAGTTGTTGAATGGCCTACAGGCATATCACAATGTGGACAGTGGAAGAAAACATGTTCCATAAAGTAGTGAACACCCAAGCAGTAAAGTTGGTTGAGTTCAACTTGGCGATCAGGGACTGAGCCATCATCCTATTTCAACTCGGAAAACGGCTTAGGGACTGTCATGAATAAGAATAAGAATAATTTATTCCATTGATCTTTTTACAAAGAAATAGGACACGTCATATACCGTACATTACAAAATAATCATCAAGATACAATAAATACAATCAAGTTTCTGATACATCAAAATATTATAAAAAATACAATTAATTAGACATAATAGCTTATTTTAATTAAAATTTAACATCAAAATTACACTTAATAAAGTCACTTATGCTGAAGAAAGGATTTTGAATTAGCCAATTATAAATTCTATTTTTGAAAATATTGTAATCAACAAATTTTGCACTGTCAGGTAGTTTATTAAAAAATCGAATTGAGTTGATTTTGAAGGAGTCACCCGTTTTAGCCAGTCTATGAGGTTTCATGCTGAGTTTGCCTCCACCCCTAGTATTGTACTCATGAGTGTCAGATCTAAGGGGGAAAGAATGCAAGTTTGACTTGGTGTAGAGTAATACTTGAAAAATGTACAAATTAATTACTGTTGGAATTTTTAATTGTATGAAAAGAGGTTTACAATGAGCTAGGGATCTTGAATTAGCAATATTACGAACTGCCTTTTTTTGAATCGTCAAAATATCAGCTACATGAGGGGAATGTCCCCAAACTAGAATGCCATAGAGTATGTGGGACTGAAACAGACCGAAGTACGATAGTCTCAAATATTCTTGGTTAACAAATTTTTTTAATTTCCATAATAAGCAATCTACTCTTGATAACTTTTTGCAAACCGCCTCAATATGATTTGACCAACTTAATTTTGAATCAATGTGAAATCCTAAGAGCTTGACAGAATCTAGTCTAATTTCCTGCTTGAGACTCAATGTCAAATATCGTGTCTTTTCAAGATTAGAATGTAGCTAATTTGGAGAAAACCAATCAAGAGCCTGTTCCTCAGCTTCAGCAGTGACCTGTTTCAGGTACTCTAAGTTTTTGTGACTGGCTAGTAAAGTGGTGTCATCAGCATAAATTATTGAATGGATATTGAGATTTTGATACAAGTCGTTTATGTATACTAAGAAAAAGAAAGGGCTTAAAACAGAACCCTGAGGGAACCGGTCTCTACAGGTTTCATAGCAGAACATTTATTTTTAACTGATACATACTGTTTTCTGTCATACAAATATGATTGAATAATTTTTATTGTGCCATCTTCAATGCCATAGTATGATAGTTTACGTAGTAATACATCAAAAGGAACACTATCAAAAGCTTTACTAAGATCACACAAAACTAGCGAAACCGACTCCTTATTTTCAAATGCATTTAGTGATAAATCTGTTAAGTTAAGTACTGCCGAGGTGGTGGACTTACCAGGACGGAAACCATGCTGGCATTCAGAAAATAAATGTTGGGACTCGAAAAAATAACTAAGTTGATTAATCACCCCATCAAGTTGATTTATCATGTGTATTAATCACCCCATTACCTAAAAAAACTACTGTCATATGTATTAATCACCCCATTACCTAAAAAAGCTAACCAATCAGCCACTTGACCGTGTTGTATTTGATTGTAGGAGGTGAACAGCTGTGTCGTCAGCTGATCAAAGATCATCTGCCACACTCTGGTGGTAAATGTAGTGTGTGGGAGGATTACCTCTACACACAGGAAGATGATGTCATCACTCTAGTGCTGCTTGCTGACCTCCTTGTAGCTGCAGGCAACAAGAGGAAAGCACTTGAAGAACTAAATAGGTAAATAGTAGTTGATTTAAGAGTCTACCTAGCCATTCAGTTTAACTATCAGGATAAGTTCGAATTGATTTCAATTGAGGATGTAACATAGAGGTCTATGATCTAGATTTTTATTTTAGGAGAATGGCTTGACTCCTAAATGGAGAAGAATGCGTGAGTAATTTGTGCAGTAAAGCTTGCTGCTCTCATTAAATCCTTAATTTAAATTGAGTCATTCTTTAAAGCTCCTTTAAAACGGCAGAATATACATTTGTTTCACACAGTTTTTGCATCAAGATACTGGTACTGGTTACACTATAAAAATGTTTGGTTTCTGGATCCTGTCCATACAAATAAATACCCCCGCCGCAGCAAACCTGCAGACTAAGCGAATTTCCATTTGACTGATTGGATGTACACTGAAATGTCTACTTAAAAATATAACATTTATTCCCGATTTAAATAGAATTAGTTTAACAAGTACTTAGGTTTGCTGCATCAGGGACAGGCCCGTTTTCGACCCTGTCAGCGCCCTAGGCACGTCTAATAGTAGCGCCCCTTTGCAACATATATATAACAGGGTGTACACCGACCGGGAAATCCGGGAATCATGCGGGAGATCTTTGAACCGTGAATTTTGTATTTCTACCTGGAGTTTTCAATTTACCGTGATCGCGCATGACAACAGTGACGTTTCCGTGATCGCGTATGACAACAGTGACGTTTCCGTGACCGCGGGAGACAATAATAAATGTCTACACACGGCCGCGAGGGATGATAAGAATTTTCCGCGATCGCAGAAGACGATGATGGTATCTACTATCTACAGAGCCGCAACGGATGATCAGAATATTACCACAATCACGGAAGACGATTGATGTCCATACGACCGCGGGAAACCTCAAGAACTTGGCCACGATCGCGGAAGACAATGATGATCTCCACAAAACTGCAGGACATGATTAAAATTTTGCCGCAATCGCGGGAGACGATTATAATGGATTCAAGACTGCGGGATAAGTACGATATCTACAGAACCGCGGGAGATATAATAACTATTTCTACATGGCCACGAGGGATGATCAATATATTGCCGCGATCACGGAAGACGATGATAATGTCCAAATGACCGCAGGAAAAGATCAGAATTTTGCCTCATTCGCCGAAGACGATTATCTCCATATGTCCGAGGGAGATGATTACCATTTTGCCACAATCGCGGTAGGCGACCACTATGTCCAAACGACCGACGGGGACGATATGATGTCTTCACGGCCGCGAGGGGTGGTCAGAATTTGACCGCGATCGCGCAAGACGAGGGATAATGTCCTCACGACCGCGGGAAAACATCAGAATTTTGTCTCATTTGCGGTAGACGATAATAATCTCCTCACGACTGCGGGATACGTTCTTATATTGCCTCGATCATGGAAGACGATAATTTTATGTCCAAACGACCTGACTGCAGAAAATAGTAAGAATCTTGCCGCAAACGCAGGAGACGATTACGATGCCTACACGGCCGCGAAGGGTTATCAGAAGTTTACCGCAATATCATGCAAATACTACCACAATTTTTTTTAAATTTCAAATTTTTGGCGCCCCCCCAAAAAAGCCAATTGCCTCGCGCCCTAGGCACGTGCCTACCGTGCCTATTCGGTAAATCGGCCCTGATCAGGGAGGGTAAAACTGTTTTTTTTTTGTAAAATGTTAATAGTTTGTAAGAAATAAAAACATTTTCCAAATTTGATCAAAATATGTTCATAAACAAGCAAACTACAACAGTTTACTTATTCTCCATAAGAATAACATGGGAATTTTAAATTTACAATTTTTTGGAATTTTCTCCGTAACCATTAGGCGCATAATAACGCTTCAATATACTAAATTATTTGTTTTTTTAAGCTCTACAAAATGGTTTGGAAAGAAATTGCAAAATTTTATGTTTTTTGGGTCAAAAATGAAAAAAACCTATTTTTACCCCATAAAACCCCCCATAAACGCCCGTTCCCATGATCCGATCATGCTGGATCGCGAACTCGTTCGAATAAACGTAGGTTTACACGTTTGTACCAAATTTCATTTCATTTCATTTCATTTCATATAACTTTATTCATTAAAGTACAATATATAGATACAGGAATGGCGTCAAGAGCAATTTAATAAAACTAACTAACTAACTAAAATACTCATCATTATCATGCATGGCATAACAACATACCATCAATATTAATAGCTTTTCAGATCAAATAAATTAAAACAAGCAGTGCAATATGAAAGTTTATACATGAAAATATCAAAATTAAAAATATAGATAAAATTATTTTAAAACCAAAAGTTTCAATTGATATGAAACAGAGCAATTAATAACTTATAGAACTAAAACTCTTCAAAGGAGTACATAGCCTTGCTGATAAGAAACATTTTCAATTTTGATTTAAATTTATTTTTGGAAGTTTCTAATTTGATTTCTTTAGGAAGTTTATTATAAAATTTGGAACCGGCATATTTAGGTGTCTTCGTAAAAAGTTGCAGAGTATGTGAGCTTGTGGCCAGGTTTTCTCGATTTCTAGTGAAGTAATTGTGATAGTCTCCAATAAGTTGTAATTCATAAAATCTGTCTTTTACTGATAATACTGTTTCATAGACATACATTCCATAAACAGTCATAATATTCTCAGTTTTAAAATATTCTTTGACTGAAGTTCTGCGTTTTAAATTGCACAAAATTCTAATAGCTTTCTTTTGCTTTTTTAGAATTGATTTTAATTTTTTCTTTTTTGCTGCACCATAAAGTGAAACTCCAAATGATATGATTGAATGTATGTACGAAAAATATATAATTTTTAAAGTTTCCTTTTCACATAGGGGTTTTAATCTTGTTAGCGCATAAAGGCCAGATGAAATTTTAGAAAGTAACTGATCAATATGATGATTCCAATTCAAATTTTCATCAATTTCTAATCCCAAGAATTTGATGTGGTCTTTATTTTGAATTATGTTGTTATTAACTACAATTTTTGGCAGATTTTGCGGTTTAGTTTTTCCTGCTTGGAAACACATAAAATTAGTTTTATCTGTGTTCAAACGCAAATTATTCGAATTAAAAAAACTGTTAAGTAATAATATATCAGAATTGGCCTTGGCTTCAAGTTCAGCATAGGTTCCTGCGGCTATTTTTAAATTTGCATCATCAGCATATAGGCAAAGCTTGCTAAAATCACTGAGTTGAGGAAAATTTCTCAAATAAAAGATGAATAAAAGAGGGCCTAGGATCGATCCTTGGGGCACCCCATATTTTACTTCCCAAGTACAAGAATTGTAAGAAATTTTATAATTTTTGTTATTACAGTGACTAAGTTCTACGTATTGTTTTCTATCAAAAAGATATGACTTGAACCAGCTCAATGCAGTACTATTTAGTCCACTACTACTGAGCTTTGAAAGCAACAACTCATGAGAAATTGAATCAAAAGCTTTACTGAGGTCCATGAACAACCCTACCACTTTAGATTTACTCTCTAAGCTATCAACGATGGATTCAATGAAAGCTGTGGCAGCTGTTATGACAGATCTGCCACTTCGGAATCCATGTTGGCAGTCATCAAATGTACCATTATTTTCAAAGAAGCATACCAGTTGGTTATAAACAACCTTTTCATAGATTTTTGAAATTGAAGGCAGCAAAGCAATCGGTCTATAGTTTGATACTGTTTGTCTGTTTCCTTTTTTGAATAGCGGTTTTAATTTTGTTATTTTGAGTTTGTTAGGGAAAATTCCTGATATCAAAGATGAATTAATGAGATGAGTTATTGGTTTAAGTAGGACTGATTTCGCTTTTTTAAAAAGAACCACAGGAATACCATCGTAGCCAGCACTATAGGAATTTTTTAGGCTTTTAATAATTTTATCAATGTCGCTCTCATCAACAAAGCTAAATTTAAAGCTCCTTTTATCTGAAGGATGTACAGTATGCAGAGTGTCATCAACATTTTTTTGGAATGTATTTATATTATTGAAAGTTTCAGTTTCTTTTACAACATCTGCAAAATAATTTATGAATTGGCCACAGACCAGGGAGGGGTCAGAACATACATCATTATTTACTACTAGGTTTATATTATGATTAATAATAGTTTTGGCTCCTACTTCAGAGTTCACAATCTTCCAAGTTGCCTTATTAACATTGTCAGAACTACCAATTTTTCTTTTATAATACTGTTTTTTTGAAGAAAACAATTTCTTTCTAAACTGCTTATTAGTTTCTCTAGCCTCATGTAACAACTTTTTGCAGTTTAACTCTCTAGCCGCTTTGTTAAGATTAATAATATTTTGTCTTTCCAACTTCAGTTCATTAGGAATCCACTTACAGTTAGTATGTTGTCTTGAGAGAGTTGATGGAAAGAATGTATTAAAATAATGCATAAATATTTCATAAAAAACATCATACTTGCATTCCACAGGACATAAATAAAGATTAAGCCATGACTCATGTTGTAAAGCAGATATAAATTGTTCAACGTTTTTATCATTAAAATTTCTTTTATGTTCAAAATAAACAGAAGAATTATTCAGGCTATTTTTCGTATTAGTAAAAACTTCAATTATTTGGCCATCATGGTCCGAAAGTTGTGTATTAATACCCGTAATTTTATAACAGCCGCTATCTAAATTTGTAAAAACATTATCTATTGCAGTTTTAGTTGTATCGGTGATTCTTGTAGGAAAATCAACCAATGACTGGAAGCCATTAGCTGTTACAACATGCAGTAAGTTTTTCCTGCTGGTGTCATTTAAGTTCAGCATATCAATATTAATATCTCCCATAAAAATAACATATTTATATTTAACACTGATTATTTCAAGCATTGTATCGAGTCGTTTGATAAACTCAGATTCATTTTGCTTAATTGGATTCCTGTAGAAACCAATTATAATAAGTTTTTTTCTGGGGATAATTTTATCTACTTCTACTAAACAACACTCAAAAATTTGCTCAGTGACAAGATTTTGAATTTCAGGTATTATAATTTCTTTAAAAGTAAAAAATGGTTTTGCTAAAATAATTACGCCACCACCTCTAGATTTTTTCCGCCCAAAACTGGCAGCAACATTGTAACCATTAATATTTAGTCTATCCAGAGAAGAACTTATCATTTTATGCTCTGTCAAGACAACAATACTAGGTGTTAGTTCAGTTAGAGTTACTTCTAAAGGTTCAATTGATGATTGCAACCCTCTAATGTTTTGATGGAAAATACATAAATTGCTTATTCTAACGTTACTTTTACAATGGGGGTTGCTTGATCTACTAAAAAATTAAAGGTATCGTTTTGGCTTACAGAATCTACTTCTAAATCTAACAATTGTGGTACATGAGCAGTTTTATTCACTTCCATCCTTGGCCTATCACTTTTGCTCTGCTTTAACAACTCACAGAAGGTGAAGTCGCCGGGCACTACTCTGGTCACACTTTCATTCACAGCTGTCACTGAAGGTCGTGATGGTGGGGTAGGTGGCAACGTTGGTGCCTCTGGTGAAGGTGTAGGCAGGGCTGCTAATGGTGTTATTGGGGCAGGCGGTGCTGGACAGGTCGATGACGGGTCTTGGCTCCTACAATCTATTGTTGTGTTTAGGTTGTTATCGATAAAAGACTGGATTCTATTGTTAAATTCACTGTGTGTTAGGCCGTTTCTTAGTTGTCTAAGGGATTCTTGGTAGTATGAAACAATAGTTATACTTGCTCCTGTTGATTCTTGAAATTGTCTGAGGTTATTGAAGAAATGGGGTAACGCTACTTTATCTCTTACGCATCCAATGGGAGAGCATACGAGGTGTTTTAGCCCTTTGTTTTTAAAGTCTGTTGTCAAATCTTTGAAAGCTGTTGTGTAATCAGATATGTCCGGTTTACCATAATAGTTGGCTTTTGTAACCAAACTGTAAACGGTAGCACAATGCGAAGTGGATTGCACTGCTAAATGTGATGAAATGCAGTGGTGCGATTCTGGTCTGCCAAAGTGTCGCCTAAAGACGACTGCCACTCCTGCTGTCATGTGGCGTGGATGGTTAAAATCAGCTGAAATACTGTGTGCGAACGCTACGGATTGGTCATGCTGGTAATCTTTAATAACATCAAACATTGGTTTTTCAGTTAACTGCATCTTAGATTGGTTTGAAGCTTTAGTCTGTTCTGGATACTTTTTCATCAAAATCGGATCATTTTTGCTTGAGTTATCGTGCTAACGGACATATATATATATATATATATATATATATATATATATATATATATATATATAAATATATAAATATATATATATATATATGAATTTGAACGAATGTTGTTTTTGGCCTCTAGGGACCTCAAAACGAAAAACAAAATCGGTCCCGCGTCCAGGTCTTACCATGAGTACTACGGTAATAGCTTATTCCCTATATGGGAAATTCGCTAAAATCAAAACACCTGTGCTATTTTTAGGTGGTCAATTTGTTCTGTTGACTACTGGTTTGAGTCAAACTTTAAGTTGTTAAAAGTCTTTTTCATTCCTAGGGCTGGGAAGAGTTAATCAAATACACACATATATATATATTTATATATACATTCAACATTCATATTCATACATTTGGTTCCAGATGTCAGAATGCGTTGTCTGAGTGGAGAGAACAGGCTAAGTGTGAGACTGACATGCAGCTGTGTGATTGGCTGCTGTGTCGTGTCATGTTACGCAAAGCCAAGATTAGCAACTCTTCAGATGCAGTTCACTACTTCCGTAGATCTCTTGCGTACAAACCAGGTAAGGTAAAACTGACACAAGTGTATCTTACAATTGGAATTGGGGACAAACACATTTATTTATGTGAGCTATTCATAATAAGGTGCATACAGTGACACATTTATCCCAAAAAAATTGCATCATTGCAGTACTATGATTATTACATTGTTCTGTTTACACAGTGATTATAAAAGAGTTGCATCAGAATGTTAGATGCAGTGCACAACGAAGTGCCACGACGTCTAATGATATAAGTCAGTGTCAAGACGTCCAAAATATAATTTTTGAGGTGTTTCACGATGTCCAATATAATATTTGACTGTTGCGTGACCTCCAAATCTCACCATGCCCAAAAGTACAGCAACGTTAATAAACAGTCTATCTAGAAGCTCTGGACGTCATGTGATTGGTCGTCGTGAAACAGCGCACTTTAGACTCTTAAAAAAGTAGCAGTTGCACCAGGACCAAAGCCGATGCCAACGTCCAGAGCGCCTGCACACTGTGAGTACTGTTTTACCGTTTGTAGTACACACTAACCTAACCTAACCTTGCTCCATATGCAGGAGCTCTGGACGTCGTGCAACAGTCAAATAGTTTAGGCTATATTGAACTAAAACAGCTCAAAAACTATATTTTGGACGTCGTGCAACACTCTCAGAATTTCTATACTTTGTCTAGAGTTTCTATGAAGTTTGATTTAATATGCCAACAAATAGTAACGGAGGAATCAGTTTTGAATTTTCACTTTGTGACCGAGATGAGATTAAGCCTCCAGGAGTTGTTCCTCCCTTTTTAGGAGACAAAGAGGCGATGTTCCACTACAAGCAGTGGTCTCTGTGGCACCCGGACCATGAGTCGTTCGACCCTGGTGACTCGTCTGCAGCTGTCACCTTCCCTGTGGACGAGCTGCACAACCTGGCTGTCCGCCACGTGCTCGGCTGCGCTGTCAGTGAGGAGGAGTGGAACCACCTGTTTAACCAGGAGGCCAGCCAGAACCTCATCGAGTCACTGTTTGACGATGACGAGTAATTATATTTGTACGTTTTGTAGATTTGTTTTTTACTTTCCTAACTCCCTAGAGTTTAATTGGTCTTGTGTAAACTGTTTGAAACTGAAATCAGCCAAAACCAATGGATACAGTTGTGATTGGTTTGAATGAATAGATGTTAATGCAAATGGTGTGTTTATGTTGACTAATACAGCCTATACGAGTGTTGTTTTTTAAGTAAGGGTCGTATTTGCAAATAGCTCCACAGTTACCCACTGCTTACTCACATTCTTTGTGACAGAATGACACCATTTACAGCTCATGTTTACATTTTGAATGTTCAATCAGCTGATGATGTTGTGTACATTTTGCTGTGTTTAAAAAATTGTTCTATAGTTCGGCCGCTTAGAAAACGACCTGCGCGCTAATGCTAAACCAATGTTGGAGGAGGTCGCTTTTTAAGCGGCCGAACTATAGTAGTTAAATCTCTTGCCGCGTGTGAGAAAAGGTCTGTAATATGTTTTTTGATTACAAGAAAAACATATGATGCCGACAGATGACTGAAAGTTATGGCGCAAGCGCAATGAGTGAGAGTAAAGTGTAGGAAATGAATGGGTTATGGAGCGCAAAATTCTTAAAATGGCTGTGAAAACCTTTTTCCTTTATGGTCTTCTGTGAGAAGTCTGGGTAGTGGGTACCCACCAAAAACAAAATTCCTTTCAAAATGAACATTGTTACAGCAATTTTTTATCCCCGAGAAAGTCAAAGTGTATTAGTCATCACACGTTATCAAGGATAAGTATTTAGACACATCTGTCGATTACCCGGTTCGATTTATTTTACCCATTGCCGGTTTTAAATAGATAAAACTACCCATTTAGCTGAAGCCACAATAATGACCAGTTTCTTTGTGTAAGGTTTATTATTAGTAGAAGGATTTTGTTATTTACAGGGGTTATTGCAGGTAAAGTCTCCAGTGATCGCAAAGGCATTGTCTCCTATGGTCTCGTCAAAATTAAGAGCATCTTCTACAATCCAAAATACATTATCATCTTTGTCTTTCACGATCACAGTGAAATAATTGCATACCCACCAATAAACTGAAACCTAAATTATCGATTATTTCCTTAGTACCAGTTTTCTTGCTAAAATCCGGTAAATCCAACAACAGACTTTATAAATCGACTTTCCTAATCTGAATTATATTATTAACTTTAAATAGTGTAGGTAGACTTCTTACCCCCTCAGTAAAATTAACGCCTGTTTTTCATGTGTGTTTCATATTGTGTCTGAGCGTGCTTATGTTGACTAAATGGTTTTCTCTCAAATATAACAAGTAATTGTTTATTGATAGATTGTTTCTTTTCTTTGTTACATCCTATACTTGTATATTTAAGGCTTGAATTTTGTTCAGTATGTATTGAAAATAAAGGTAAATGTAGACAAATACGTTTATTTACATATTGTAGTTAGTTTTTAAGAACAAAATAATCTGTAGAGTTGATTTTGCTTATCGTAAAAATTACAGATTTAATTTTTTCCCTTACTCAAATTAAATTAAAGGATGAAGAAAACACTTATAACATTTTAAAACAAATTTATTCCCAACATTAAATATAAAATTTAAAACTTATCATAATATATGTATAATGCAACAAATAAGTACGATTCCAACATAATTGGTACCATTGACAGTCAAATGAAAATTCTTTAATCTATATGATACATACACACTTCGTTACAATTTTGTACACTGTCTTCAAGGAATTCAACCATTTACCCATACAACCACTTATCTAGTCTAAAAAGGCACAGTCTTATGTGTTAAATATTGGAAATGTTTACACTTTTTAATACTTATGAACTAATATAAAAAATGAATGAAGAGTGTTTAATTTTTTTTAGCAATAATGTTTGTTAATCTCTGTTTTATTAATAGTAAATCCCCTCCATGATATGTTTAAATCATATAATGTAATACAGCCTACAATGTTGTCCCTTAATCCTCCTAGTGTCATCAATACAGATGCATCATCAGTGAAACGCTCTGGGATGTCAAGCAGCTCATGATGGCAATGGCAATAAGATTGTCATCCACCAATGGGTTAAAAGATACTTAACATTACTGATGCTGACCAGCTGACCGTAAGGCTGGAAAAAACAATTATGGTCGAGATCTATGATTGGTAGGTGAGGCGGAGGGAGATGGTGTTGTCATACGTAAAACAGACACACTGCAAGATCTTGCCCAAAAATCAACCGACACCACACACAAAATGACCGACACCAGGAGGGTTAATATTTATGATAAAAAACAAAGATGCATTGAGTTTGCAAATATATTGCTAATATCGTACATGTTTGGGCACTTTAGAAAATATTCTAAGAAAATAAATCTCGGCCCTGGAAGTGAATAATCTGTAAAGGACTGAAAACAAGAATAAAATTTGTTTCATACTGTACAGTTTTCATCTTAACCAATTGCTCTAAATCAGATGGCATGTCGATCTCAAGCTTAACCAGCTGATCTAGTAGATTCTCCAATACCCAACCAGTCTCGTGGGTTCTTCAGTACTTCAACTAACTTACCCTCTTTGCTGTTTGGGTCAGGGATGTGCATGTACTCCCATTTCTGAAAAAAAAAATAGATATTTAGGAAACTGTAAAATGAGGTCAATCAAATTATTTTTTTACTAAAAGTATGAAACTAGGGATGCTGCAAATAAAACTAGGGAGTTTTAGTACAGATTTTAATACATAAACTAAAACTATTTTAATTTGGTCTCAGGAAAATAGTATAAATGAAATAAAATTATTAAATAAAAAAATAAAAAAATTGAGAACAGTTAAGGCCTACACTGAGACTGAACCTATAAAATGGAATGGGTATATATTTTTAAATACAAATCTGGTAATCTTCCATCTTGGAACCAAATATTTATTTACAGGAAAAAGTTAATGTAGGCTACATTTTTTACGTACAAATAACCTAACCTAACCTCAACCTGGTGTGGTGGATATAAAATATTCTAATGTAGTCATTACCACAGAAGAGTACCAAAAATATAAAGGACAGTTTTGTGCTTTCAGTTTCAAGTGCCATTTTGCAATCATAGAGAACATAAAATGTACGTTATTATTTTACATTTTAATCGCAGCCATTTTGTTTTAATGATCGGCGTTATGGTTCTCAGGTGGGTTTAACCATCCTTCAAAACAAAAGTAACAATAGAACACACAAAAAAACATTCTCTTAAAGCCACATTTTATAATTTTTTTAAGACTACTGTAGTTTTTTATTAGAAATAGTTTTGGATATACCTGCTTTCAATTGTAATGAGGTGGCAATTCTTATATTAACAATAGAAATAGTAAATGTAAAATCTATACTATTATAAAGAAGAGGTGGTGTCTGTGTGTTTGTATGAGCTAATCTCAAAAACTACTGAACCTACTGGGCTCAAATTGCACACAAATGAAGCTACAGCTCCGAAGATACATATAGAACTATTCCCGCTTCGATATTGTCCTAGGGCTCTGCCCCGTGGGCTTTCAAAAATTTGAGGTGAGAGATTTAAAAGTAAATATTGATTTATGGTATCCATGGTAACAAAAAACAAACCTGCAAAGTTTAAAAATGTAAACAAGCAGAACTAACTGTCAAATGAATTTTGATTTCACAATTCCACACAACTGCTTCAAACATATTAAATACTGCACGAATATTAGAACAGAGAGGGTAAGGATAATAAATTTTAAATAATGATGTCACTAGCCCGAATGTAAACATTATTTAACATTACTTAAATGGAGCTGTCAAACCATATGTTAATGTAATTTCTTAAGTTTATGATTCTTTCAGTTACTTCATTTGTTTATGTTTATGATCTACTAGCTGTAACCCGCGGGCTTTGCCCCGTTTAACTTCTTAATTTTCAAGATTATCTCGTTCGCATGGCTCAATCACGTCCTGGTTGAAGTTTGTTCGCTACGCTCACTCACCTTTAGGTTGGAGCTCGTTCGCTACGCTCACTCACCTTTAGGTTGGAGCTCGTTCGCTGCGCTCACTTGCCTTCAGGTTAGCTCGTTCGATACGCTAACTCGCCTCCAGGTTGAAGTTCGTTCGCTACGCTCACTCACCTTTTTGTTGCAAATTAGCTGTTGTCATAAATGTAAAAGAAATAATAGTGTTGCACCCTGTTGGTAATCCTTGTAACTTGAATGCTATTGAACATCATAGAACAGAACCAACTTGTTTAATTGAAACAGCTGTTAAGATTCAATAATTCCATTTCTCATAAGATTAACATGGGAAACTCCAGAGCCACTGGGGCGGAGCCCGAAAGGATTTTTGAAATAAGAATATGCCTATATGTTAATCGGGAATGTGAGCTATCATCATGCCAAATTTCAGCCCAATCCGACCAGTATTTTTCGCGTTCACTTGTCACAAACATACATCCATACATCCATACATCCATCCATCCAAACTTTCTCATTTATAATATTAGTAGGATTATTCTGAGTTTGTACTAATATTTGTGAAATGCTGTAATAATATTTTACAGGGAATAATTCGTTGTAAAATAAATCATTCATGGATATAAGAAATAATTAAGATTCTATAATCATTGCCAGGCCATTATCCTGAGTTTTATGAGGTTTATTTTTTTATTTATTTCTGTGTAAACAGCAATATAATTCCCCTGCCGCAGCAAGTCTATGGACTGAGTGAATTTCCATTTTCCTGATTATAATTTCACTAAAATATTGTTGTATAAAATTACCCTATTTTCCATATTTATTTATATTTTCCATTTTTTTCTATTTTTCGGTTTGTAACTGTTGTGTTGGTTTTTTTGTTTACAGTGCAAACCATTAAACACGTTCTTTTACTGTACCTTAAAATCTATCATTGGGTTTGTATCGTAGGTAGCCTAAATAATTATGAACGGTATTAGTTAACCAAAACGTACTATTATCAAGTTAAGTTATACAGTTATATTTTGTTTCTGAATTAAATGGTAGGAGTGATACCATTTGGCATTTTCAAAGAAACAA